AACAAAATTAACCGCTCTTGAGCATTCATTTTTGCACTGCAATGAAAACGGCAGTTCGTACACGATGGACCAATTTTTCTTTTACTGACGAGTTATTCATTAGGAGAGAGGGCCCTAAGGTGGTCACCCATCTTTTGAACGACTGTAGATTTCAAATGGAATTATATATAAAGGTCAATAATACGGCGTTTGAAACTTTATCTTATTACCTAACTTCCTATCATAAAGTTTTTTTATTTCATTAATAAAAAAAAAGTTATGGCACTTTTTAAAAAAGTTGAAAATTCGACTTTTAAAAAAGTGGCCCCAAGGTGGTCACCATACAAAAATTCACTAAAAAAGTTTTAAAAAAATGTAAAAAACGTATTACTAAGTTGTTTATTTAATATTAATTGTTTTTCAGGATCACAGAAACATATTACATATTTTTTTTGCACTTTGTCCTTTCGTCAAAAATGATACTTTTTGTGTATGTACAGTGAGTTCTCGCGAGTCGTTCAAACTCGCCAGTCGTTCAACAGCTGATCAGTGACCGATTCACGAGTCGTTCAATTTCTAGCATGCGCGCGCCGGTGCTCAGTGCTGTGTAATTTAAACGGACCAAAGTCATTGAATATCTTTTGTCTTTCGGGGCGATAAATATGTTTCACACATCCCTGAAATCGCCTTGGAGGCGTGGCTTATGCGTTGAACGACTCGTGAGTTTTATGATCTTGAAAATTTTCGAGAATTGAACGACTCGCGAGAACTCACTGTATTAGATAGGTAAACTTTTGAAAATAATTCTATTTTATTATTATTCATCATAAAACTTAAAAATTGATAAAATTCGCATTCACAGTGATAAATGTTGATAAATATGGCGTATAAACATATTTTCATAAAAAATCAAAAGTGACCACCTTGTGGCCAAAAAAGTGTCCACCTTAGGGCCAAGACAGAATTTTTTAAACGTTAATGAAAAAATTTTTTAAAGCACAATATTAATTATATTCATTTGGAATATTATTGAACGATATATAAAGATAATTATAACGATTTTTACTAATTTAAAATGGTTAATTTCGATGATTTTAACACCCTGAGAAAAAAATTTCTCGATCATTTAAAAACAGAAATTTTACGACGTTCACGTTACAAAGAGACTCATACGACTATTTACCTCAAAACTTTACTAAAATCTTTGTCTTCTCAAATAATAACAATAACAAAAAACATTTGAAGATACTAACTAATATACAAAAATTTTCTTAGGGTGACCACCTTAGGGCCCTGACCACCTTGGGGCCCTCTCCCCTATTTAATTCATAAGGCATTCCTATATTGCGAGCTTTCTTAGCACAATTTTTAATAGTATTTTCGGGATTTGCTTTTCTTTTTCGCGATAGATTTTTCTGAGCTGACGAGTTTTTGTTTGATATTATAGTGGATGCCGACACTACAAACATTTAAAGAGATTTATTTTCATAATAATTGTAAAATGTAATTTATCATATTAAATTCTTAATCTTTTTCAAGTACGGCGCCCTCGACCTCCACTCGTGTCACAAAAATCACCGTAAACAAATGGCTGCCTTTATACCCTTGTTGCTTAATATAATATTTTAGTGCCAAAAGTTCTAATTTGTGAAATATCGTGATAAATAATCAATTTGTTTTTTTACTGGTGCCAATTCTTTCACTGGTGCAACTACCCTATTTTGATTCAAGAATATGCTTCTTACAAAAAATAGTCTATATATGTATGTTTTTCATACATCGCAATGTCTTACTCTCAGGCTGACTGACCCTTATCAACAAAAACACAAAATACAAAAACAGATGGAACCACAAATGCCTTTATTAGAGTTATTACGTTGAAATATTTTGATGGATATGCTTTGAATAACTAAGGAACATCCAACTTCCTACAGACCAATGGTAATCCACACAATATATTAAATATACACAAGCTGTGAGGACTTGTATCAATTGACTTTTATCACTTTTCATGAATTTCATTGTATAATGATAGCATTTAAAATCTAACACGAGAAATTAAACTTAATAATATATATGGGGCAAAATTTCTCAAGTGTACCAATGTCAAAATTGCAAGTTGTTGGATTGGGCTAATATTTTCACAGTATTTAGTACTATGTATGAGTACTTCAATCACCAAGGATTATAAAATTTTATAACAAATTGTAGAGGGGGGAGGGGGTTGAAGATTTTGGATAAGTATATATGAACAGTGAGTTTTCTAAAAAATCGTAGCTTCTATATAATAAAGCAAAAAAAATTTTGACCTATATGTTTTTGGTAGGTTTTTTCACGCTCTTTCAAATAGTAAAAATTTTTTTTAAAAAAATTCAAAATTTAACCCTTTTTTTTGAAAATTAAAAATTTTTTTGATTTTTTTTCAAGAAGAACCCATTTTTTCTCTTTTTTTTGTACCAAAAGAAAGCTTAAGATGTGTACTTTCAATAACTAAAACGAAAAAAATGACGTTTTTTTGTTTTCGAATTATTAATTAATTAATTAATAAAAATGAATAAAAATTGAAATATTTTACAACAAAATAAAGTTAACGCAATTCTAAAGTTACTACTGTAAAGCACTACAAAATCCGCATCCAACGAGTCCAATATGAAATATTTTGGATAAATTGACGTTTTATAAATAAATATTTATAAAAATTAATTAACAAATGAATATCATTTATAAAAATAAAGATAAAGTGTTAGTTTTTTTTACACAAATGTTTATACAATTCTACTTTAAAAAAAATGTATTCCAGTTATTTGCAACCATTGTTTAAATAAAATATTCAACACCTTATGCGTGTGTTCCGCTGTTTAACTATCTTCCCGGCTTAATATTATTTCACATTTTTTATAGAATATTTTTTTATTTTTAACATTTTTGATGTAAGAAAAGATGATTTCTTTTTTACATTACTAATTTTTTATTATTTTAATATTATTTATTATTATTAAATTATTTTGTAATTAATTTATTAGGAATTACGTAAAAATTTCTTGTTGATATTAAAATAATAAAAAATTAGTAATGTTAAAAAGAAAACATCTTTTCTTACATCAAAAATGTTAAAAATAAAAAAATATTCTTTAGAAAATGTCAAATAATATTAAGCCGGGAAGATAGTTAAACAGCGGAACACACGCATAAGGTGTTGAATATTTTATTTAAACAATGGTTGCAAATAACTGGAATACATTTTTTTAAAAGTAGAATTGTATAAACATTTGTGTAAAAAAAACTAACACTTTATCTTTATTTTTATAAATGATATTCATTTGTTAATTAATTTTTATAAATATTTATTTATAAAACGTCAATTTATCCAAAATATTTCATATTGGACTCGTTGGATGCGGATTTTGTAGTGCTTTACAGTAGTAACTTTAGAATTGCGTTAACTTTATTTTGTTGTAAAATATTTCAATTTTTATTCATTTTTATTAATTTTTATTAATTAATTAATTAATAATTCGAAAACAAAAAAAAACGTCATTTTTTTCGTTTTAGTTCTTGAAAGTACACATCTTAAGCTTTCTTTTGGTACAAAAAAAAGAGAAAAAAAGTGTCCTTCTTGAAAAAAAAATCAAAAAAATTTTTAATTTTCAAAAAAAAGGGTTAAATTTTGAATTTTTTTAAAAAAAATTTTCACCATTTGAAAGAGCGTGAAAAAACCTACCAAAAACATATAGGTCAAAATTTTTTTTGCTTTATTATATAGAAGCTACGATTTTTTAGAAAACTCACTGTTCATACTTATCCAAAATCTTCAACCCCCTCCCCCCTCTACAATTTGTTATAAAATTTCATAATACTTGGTGGTTGAAGTACTCATACATAGTACTAAATACTGTGAAAATATTAGCCCGATCCAACAACTTGCAATTTTGACATTGGTACACTTGAGAAATTTTGCCCCATATATACCTTCTTTTTTTCTACATCGTCAGGGTAGGTAGTATCTCAGGTACAACTGGGGCTATTAACTTAGACAACATTCCCAGAAGATGTTGTCAGACTTAGATACATCTGTGCAGTAGTATCACTGTTCGTTATCCTATGTCTCCCCTAAAAGCCTACTTTTCCTGACACTTTTTGTGCTCACTACCCCACGTGAATGGAGGTACAGATGTACCTCCATTCACCTGAAGGATGATGCTGTAGAGTTGTTTCTTTGCTCAGGGTTAACAATCACCTTCACAGAGACTTAATTATTTCGGTATATTTCCTATTGGAGAAGAGGGCCAGGTAGCGCTCATTTCATCTACGATAACGTAGCGTAACGTACGTAACCACTTGACATTTTAGATTCAGGAAAAAACGATTATATACAAATACTATCCAAACAGAAAACAATTTAGTTCACTAGCGTCACAGTTACTGTATTGTTTAAATTATTTTAAATTATTATTATATTAAATTATTATACTTGATTAATTTCCGTATTAAAACGAGCGAACGATATTTTATTATTATTTTTACGATCATTTTGTTATTCTAAATTTATCTTATTTTGTTATTTTATTTGTTACTAAAATATACTTTCTTACGAAGGTTTAATTAACACCTTATTAATGACTACACCTTTACTCTAAATTAGTATGAAATGGTCCATCAGATAAATACTGTTTTGATAATCAGATGGCGCTTCACGACACTAATTGTTAGAATTAACTGCTAAACTAAGTATCCGGACTCCATCCAGCGAGAAAATTCTTTGGCAATAAAAATTCTGATCATAATTGAAACACTGTATTTCTATCTCATTAATCTTTCGTTTAAATATTTTTACGTATGTTTAAATTTGAGATTGTGCAAAAAGTGCAAAAATGAGTGAAGCAGTTTTAAAATTGAAAACAGATACTTTTCATATTAAAGTAAATTTTAAGAATGTATTTAAACTTTATCCGGCTTTTTTAGGGTACTTCAGACTAAAGGGTTTCTCAGTGAATGAAAAGTAAATAATTATAAAACTAATGTAAATAATTGCTATGAATAAAATTTATTAATATATTTGATTTTTCTATTAAAATAATTTATTCCACTGTTTCACGTTTATTTTCGCTATCTTTCGTTATCAATATTTAATAATGGTTTGATACCCATTGACCATATTATTGGAGTGTCAGTATTTACTGTTACGTAACTTTCATCAGAATACGTGTTAGATGAACTGACTAAACTTCCTACTTCCAGAGTAGTATTATCTGAAAAATAAAAAAAGAAAATTTATTGGTACTCGTACAAAAATGATAAAGTAAATATTTTTCAAGTCCCTCCATAATGATTATTGAAATCTAACTTCAGATTTGTAATCAGTGATCACAAAAACCCCCAAGTAACAAGTTTCAAGCGAATCCACTAAATTTTTTAAAATTCATCCGCCGTATTTGATTAGGCCATACAATTAGGCAGTTTTAGCCAAAGTGAATTTTTTTGTTTCAAGAAGAGACTACACGTTGCATTTGTTAAAGAATTATCAAAGTTAAAAATCGTACTATTAAACTCAAGTAGAGTTCAATTGAGAAATAAAAAAAAAGAATTATTTAAAGTAATTTATATCATATTTCGGAGAATATTTCGAGTGTATAAAAGAATTGACAATCATCAAAAGTCATAATTGAAGACACATATTTTGAAATGTGAAAGATATTAAAATGCATTAAAAACAGATGATACCTAAATTCCATTTTAAGCCAGTTGTTGACACATTTTTTGCTGGGAAGCCAACCGGTAAAAGACTACACCATGTTCTACTATTTCTTAAAATTTCTGGTATTATTATTTTATGCATTCCTGTCTGTAATAACCACGTAAGCGAACCTTTTGATATCTGTATAACCTGAAATACATTATTAATAGTTTAAATATTTAAAAAGTTTAAAATTAGATGTTCTTTTTTAGACAAAAAAATTCATAAATAACAGTAGTACGTACCGGTACATTAGGCAAGATTTTCGGACTTTTGTGGAGTGTACTGATCCCAGCAATTATTTGGTCCATTCTTCCACTTACTTCATTAAATACATATGCGACCTTTAACTGTTAACAGTTAAGATTAGTTATGGTTTTAACGGAGAGTTTGGTAATTTCTAAAATATCGTGTCGCAAAAATTACTTTAATATTTCTTTCATTGCAGTAAAGATTAAGTTTTCTTAGTGATTTTGTATAATCCGTTTCATCTTGGTCCATTGTACGAATAATTTTAACTCCTAGAGATTCTAGTATCGTAAGTGTCTCTTCATGTACACTGTCCATGTCACCCGTTACAATATCTGGTAAATACTCCTCACAAAATCCTTTTAGGACTTTTTCTCTGTCATTTCCAAGAAATGTTAACCATCTATCAGTTCCAGCATCAACTGTAACTCGAACTTGTGCTAAAAAATTATTCTCTTTTCAGAAATTTATCACATTATTTATTATATTTATTTAATCATAAACTTTATGTGAAAGAAATTGTTATAATTGGCATTATATTTCGATTTGTTTGTTCGAAAATAATCAGAGGGTGTAGAAGAGAGAATGGTTAATTTTTTAATGGTTTAAAAATACCATCTAGATCGCAACTCAATTAACTTAATTTTCTTTAAGAACTGTACGGAACTGAATCATTTAACCCTTTGAGGACCAAATTTTTTCTTAAAAAATCGCGATTTTTGATTTTTAAGCAAACTTTTCAGGAACAGTTATTGAAGTTTTTTATTTGAAGACCAGTGTCTGTCATACGCAATTTTTCAGACTATGTGAAAATTATTGTTTCAATATTCAGTTTTGAAAATTAGGAAATTTATGCACGAGTTAATAAAAAAATGTTCATGTTGCCTGAAAGCAACACTGGTCCTCAAAGGGTTAACGTCGTAAATATAAAATTTTTTAAATTACAAACACATTTATAATAGGTAATATTTTTCTATTATTAACTATTTTTTAAAGGACCCCAAAGAACCCAATAAAATAGAAAAAACGTGATTTATTACTAGAGTCAGAATTCCTAAAAAGAAGCCACCCGAAACCTTTTAATTTTCTTTTTCGTTGTAATGTGTTTATTTTAATACTATTTTATATAAGAAATCATAATATCAAGGGATTTTTCAAAAAAAAATTTTTGTTAATGTTGTTAGCTATTGAAAATGAACGTATCTAATTAAAAAATTAATTTCTCAAAAACTTATTGATCGATTTTAATGGTTTAAGTGTCATTTTATTTGCCTTAAAATGAAGTATAATTGACATTATTTGCAGATAAAAATATTTAATTTTAGTGCAAAAATCAATTGTTTATTTATAAAAGGTTAATACAAAATAGTGTTCTGGACAATATTTCAAGTCGAAAAAATTGCTATAATGTTCTTCAAATATTAGTGAAAAATATTAAGCATTTGTGCTGCAGTGCAGAGCGCGACTCTGGACCATATTGAGCGTACCGCGCGATTAACACAGAAAAAATGTATTAAATTTGACGCGTGTAGTTTTAAGATGGTGTTGTTTTAAAACAATTTTGGAGTTATTTTTACACCCAATAAAAATGTATATTAATTTAACACCCTCTACTGTTATTTTAACACCAATGTAGTGTTAAAATCACATAGTTTCGGTTAAAAATGTTGTTTGTAGTTTTAACACTACTTTTAGTGTTAAAATAACACTTCTTTTTTCCTGTGAAAAAAACCACTTCTAAAACACTACTTTTACCATTCTTTTTAAATTGTTTAATTTTCTTTACTACAATTATTATACATATTCGGAAAAAGTATTTTTTAATAAAAAATTACAGTGGTACAGATAAAATTTGGATTGTTTTATTGTTTCTTTATTTGAAAAATTTACAATTCAATCTGAATTTTAATTCTACTTCTCACATTAATTTATTGTAAATGTTTCCAAATTAGAAACAATAAAAAACTCAAATTTTACATTTATTACTGAGGCATTTCACGTCCGAAATATCACGATTTGCAAAGGATAGACTGATTTTAGCGAAACTGGGTGGGAGATCATAGTTCTATATGAGAGACTTCTTTTCTCCAAATTATTTTTACAAAAATTCAAAATTGTAGAAGATACGCCATTTTGAATTTTAATATTAATTTTATAATATTTTGAATATCTCGGAATATTGTGTATGAAATTTACACATTTTTAGATAAAAATATGTACTTTACAATGAAAATAAAATTAATAAAAAAATTTATTTAAAAATTTTTTTAAACAATTTTTTGTTTATTTACTCCTCTATGAGAAAAATGTTATTAACATATTTGGATTTGGGCGGCTCCTTTCAGGAATTCTGATTCATAGAAGCCAATTTTGGGCTTCATTTGGCACAAAAATAAAAAAAATTGAAGACCCATATTTTCGTAATAATGTTTGTTATTTTTTAAAATTGTCATAAATAATGCAAAAAAAATTTTTCTTAGAGTCAGTACATCATATTTTACGTAAAGTCATTGCGGCCTATTTTTAATTTGTAAAAACGATGTTTAATATTCATAGAATTCATTTTTGAGAATATTATTATAAAAAATTTTTTGAATTAAAGTTATAATTTTAATTTTTAAGATGAGGTGCACAGAGAAAAGGTTAGATTGACAGACATGAAAATTTTAATAAAAAAGCATGTAAATAATTTAGATAATACAAATTTCTTGATTGGTATTTGTTAAAAATGAGCTAATTTACTTGAATAAATAGATTATTATGTAAACATACCCAAAATAATAGATAAAAATTGATTTAAAAACTTAACTATGAAATGTCAAAAGTCACTACATTTTATTTACATTTTTCTAAAAAGTTTATAAATATTAAAAAGTGTATTACTAGGGGAGAGTCTCCAGTTGTGACACAGTCTTTTTTTTAACATGTAATATTAAAAAGCCGATCGGTTTATATAAAAACATTTCTTTTTATATGAGCCAACTTTTTCGTGTACGCCGAAGCGGATATATAAACTGTTTTTGTTAAATACCAACACTGTGTGTGTTAATCGACTAAAAAGCGTTTTTTCAATAAATGCAAAGTACTTTTTTTCCAAGTTAATTAATTGGAAAAGGTAAATGTAATGCATTTTCTTTTAGTGTTTTCCTTATATTTTGTGATGCAATATTGCATTGTTCCAATGAAAATAATTTAATTTTCCTTTTTCAAAATAGCGCCAATTTCTGGGTGTGAGACACAGCATATCACCAGTTGTGAGACGGTGTCAACACCCATCTGGGCAGCATAAAAAATACGACTTTGCAGGCATACTATTTAAATGTTGTTTTGTTTTTTTTTCTAGTATTTTTGGGCATGTCAAGTGGAAAAAAGTCAATTGATTCAGAAGAAATCAATTTTAATGCTCTTGTTGAAGCTATTAAATTGTGTTTATCTGATAGTCATATTTTGGCGAATAAATATTATTATTTAGTATATAATAATATATATTATTAATATATTTAATTATTTCTACTAAACATAACGTTTTATGTCAAACTTATTAAATTTTAGCAATTTTTAATGAGTGTCTCACAACTGGAGACATTTTTTTTTTTTGACAAAAGCGATGTGCTCGGAAAATGTATCGTAAAATTTTTTGAGTTCATCAAAACACAATACTTTCTTTTAATAAAAGTTGCGTATTTCTGTTACCTTTCGAACGGTGTATTTTATTTACAATTTCGTTTACCCGTTTACAATTTACGGGTCAAAAATAAAACCCGTCTCACAACTGGAGACTCTCCCCTACCTAATGTAAAATACTTTTAATGAACTTTTATATTATGTGCTAACTTTTTAATTTTATAATATAGAAATATGAAAAATTTTACCTTTAATATTGAGTGTTTCATGATTTTCAGTGATATACTACTTTCTAGTTTTATTCATGTTTAAAAAATCTGCTACGTCTGCTACCTAAAGCGAGTTTGTTGGTTAAAATGCAAGTAATTTAATAACACTGAAGTTGGCTGTCTCACACGGTGGTCTTCAAGCACTTTTAGGTTTACCTAAAATGAGTTAAAATTGTGCTAACGCAGTTTTATCTACAATCGTCCCAAGATTCCAAATTTTCATTTCCGAAAATCGTAGCTGATTCTTTTTTCGAAAAAAACATATATATGGGGCATACCAGGCCAAATCGGAAATTATTTTGCTTTTGCATCTCAAATTTTTTTTAAACATTTTTTTTTTCTTCTAGTACTCTTTGAAATGAGCTACCTTGATTTTTTTCAAATTTTTTCATAAAGCGGTTCAGGAGATACAGATTTTTGAAAAATGACGTTTTTTACGTAATTTTTTTTAAATGCTTATAACTCGGTCAAAAATTGATCAAATTGGACGTTTTTATAATGAAAAGTTTTGCTTTCACGCGTAGTTTTTAATAAAAATATTTTTAAATAAATTACGATAAGATTTTAAAATTCTTAAAATAAAATTTCATTTTTAACAATGTATGTGTCGATCAATTTTTTTAAAAAAATTTTGTAAGAAACTAGCACTAAATTAACAATTTTTAAGCCTTGTCCGATCGTGGGCAAACGATGGGATCTATTTATTTAAAAAATTTTAATTTTTATATACACAATGGCCTAACTTGTCATTTGACCAAATCACAATTTTACACTGAAAGAAGGTTAAGTTTGGAGAGACTCAGTCTGAAAACACATTTGCTGTGAAAAACTTGTGTGATTTTGTCAAATGGCAAGTTAGTCATTTGGCCACCACTGCGTATATAAAAATTAAAAATTTCAAAATAAATAGATCCCATCGTTTGCATCGTTTGCCAACGATCGGACAAGGCTTAAAAATAGTTAATTTAGTGCTAGTTTTTTACAAAAAATTTTGAAAAAAATTGATCGATACATATATTGTTAAAAATGAAATTTTATTTTAAAAATTTTTATATCTTATCGTAATTTATTTAAAAATATTTTTATTAAAAACTACGCGTGAAAACAAAACTTTTCATTATAAAAACGTCTAATTTAATCAATTTTTGACCGAATTATAAGCATTTAAAAAAAAAATTCCGAAAAAAACGTCATTTTTCAAAAATCTGTATCTCCTGAACCGCTTTATAAAAAAATTTGAAAAAAATCAAGGTAGCTCATTGCAAAGAGTACTAAAAGAAAAAAAAATGTTTAAAAAAAATTTGAGATGCAAAAGGGTCATTCCAGTGAAAACCGTCTAGAGCTGGTTGCTCGATGATTTTAAAAAATGATGTGATTAATATATAATATTCTTCAATAAAATTGGATTATATTTTAGTGGTTTATAGCCCCAAATATATTTTACATTCTTTTAAATATTTTTTTTAAATGTCTAACTGGTTATGCAGTCTAACATAACCCATTTTGCGAAAACTCAGTATAAATCATTAAAAATAGATTATAAATACTGATTTTTATTTTAAATAAATATATTTTTGCTAAATTCATTTAAATAAACGAAAATTATTTGAAAATAACTCACCAGAACAGATAAATCAGAATTTTTTTGTACTTGCACAGTATAATAAACATGAATTTCTTTTTCTTATATCTTCTGTGGAGAAAAAGGAATTTTCACGAAACTTTTTTAAATTGATTTATTTTAAAATTATAAATTTATTTAAATTGAAATTTTTTTTGGACCTGTACTCAATAATTATTTAATAAATATGAAAAATTTTATAAATTTAACCTGATTTTGATTAAATTTTTATTTTCATGACTAGACTGAAGTTTGTTTTCTTTAAACGAACGACAAGGTGATGAACTTCAGTCCAGTCATGAAAATAAAAATTCAATGAAAATCAGGTTAAATTTATATAACTTTTCATATTTATTAAATAATTAATGAGTACAGGTCCCAAAAAAATTTCAATTTAAATAAATTTATAATTTTAAAATAAATCAATTTAAAAAAGTTTCGTGAAAATTCCTTTTTCTTCACAGAAGATATAAGAAAAAGAAATTCATGTTTATTATACTGTGCAAGTACAAAAAAATTCTGATTTATCTGTTCTGGTGAGTTATTTTCAAATAATTTTCGTTTATTTAAATGAATTTAGCAAAAATATATTTATTTAAAATAAAAATCAGTATTTATTATCTATTTTTAATGATTTATACTGAGTTTTCGCAAAATGGGTTATGTTAGACTGCATAACCAGTTAGACATTTAAAAAAAATATTTAAAAGAATGTAAAATATATTTGGGGCTATAAACCACTAAAATATAATCCAATTTTATTGAAGAATATTATATATTAATCACATCATTTTTTAAAATCATCGAGCAACCAGCTCTAGACGGTTTTCACTGGAATGACCCAAAAGCAAAATAATTTCCGATTTGGCCTGGAATGCCCCATATATTCCACGTGAGATTTTAGTCGACCTCTTAAAATCGGCTAAAAATATTTTTTTTTCTATTCTGCATCGAAAAAAATAGATACGTATTTTTTTATTTTTGTTTAATTGTCAAAATTTTCGAGTTATGAATTTTCGAAATTTTGGACTTGTAATTGTAGACCTATATTCAGTAGCTTATAAGTCTGAAAATATTGAGTTTAGGAAAAAGTTGTCAAAGAATGAAAGTTTTAGTTTATTTTCAACTTTTAAAAAATGTAAACAAATTAATTTTTTTTAACTTTGGGCCGGATTTTTTTAAATTTATTTATACCTTATAATATAGAGGAGATTTTCCAAAAAGTCCCGAAATGGGCCTGATGTGTTGAATGAGTTTTAAAACATTTTCAAAAATCACTTGCAAGCATCACAATGGGATTTTTTTACAATTAACTTTTTAAAACTGTCAAAAGCGTATAATTTTTAATCTATTTGAGTGTTCTTTGTTTTAAATTAAAAGATCTACGCTTTTGACAGTTAAACAAAAATAAAAAAAATACGTATATATTTTTTTCGATGCAGAATAGAAAAAAATATTTTTGGCCGATTTTAAGAGTCGACTAAAATATCACGTGGAATTATATATAGGGGAGACTGGGGCGAAAAATTAAACTGACAAAACCGTTAAAATTCATTATCTTTCGAACGAAAATAGTTAGAGCATTGCAATTTTAATTATAGAAGGGTGTTATCACCCTAAATAAATGTCCGGAGTTGTGTGCAATTCTGTTCATTTTTGTGGTGTCTATATTGAAAGTTTTTTTTTACTTTTGAAAATTTTTTCGAAAAAGAAAATATCAACTTTTAAGTATATTTTTTGAATTTATTCTCATCGCGATTTTTTTAGATCCTTATTTGGGTCCCCTGAAGAGATACCTAAAGGTATTTGCCAAATATCTTTAGTCAGATTTTTTATATTTATTGTTAAAGCCAAAAACGCACCCTGGGGCGAAAAGTTAAATAATGGGTGGGGCGAAAAGTTAAATGTATTTTTACATGTTGTTAAAAAATTTTTTTTATTTTTCGTTTTTTTGGGTTTATTAGTTTAAAAATGATTTATTTGACCTTGGACAAGTACTCTGTCAAAAAATAAACCGGTTAACGTGAAATAAACCAAAAAAACTTTTTTTTTTGAAATTTCAATTTTTTAACTTTACAACTATTCTAAAGCTTTTGTCAAATAAACAAAGATCTTTTATTTACTAAATTACTTGTTTACGTACACTTTAACTTATCTACTACTTATCACCTATCAGAAAATAGTTTTAGTAGGCTAAAAATAGAATTTAACTTTTCGCCCCAGGGTGGGGCGAAAAGTTAAAAAAAACAAAATTTTCAAAAAAGGACAAAACATGTATTTTTTGCGAAAATATCAGGAACTTTTTTATTGAAAGTTGTAGAGGACAAGTTGCCCTACAATATTGATATACAAATATTTGCATCTAAGCGGCTTATATTGAAAAAAAAATCATGTATGCAAAATTTAACTTTTCGCCCCAGTCTCCCCTATGTTTTTTTCGAAAAAAGAATCAGCTACGATTTTCGGAAATCAAAATTTGAAATCTTGGGACGATTCCAGATAAAACTGCGTTAGCACAATTTTGACTCATTTTAGGTAAACCCAAAAGTGCTTGAAGACCACCGTGCTCAATAGTCTTTCAAAAATCTACTTGCATTTTAACCAACAAATTAGTTTTCTTAGCAAATTTTTTAAACTGAAATTTAGCTCGTTCTCCATCACCAAAATTTAATAGAATGGAAAAAAAGGTCAAACTTAAATATACAGACCAAAATTGGATTTTTTAGTCTTGCACCTGAGAAGAAAGTACTTTTTTACATTAGGTAGTAATACACTTTTTAATATTTATAAACTTTTTAGAAAAATGTAAATAAAATATAGTGACTTTTGACATTTCATAGTTAAGTTTTGAAATGAATTTTTATCTCTTATTTTGGGTATGTATACATAATAATCTATTTATACAAGTAAATTAGCTCATTTTTAACAAATACCAATCAAGAAATTTGTATTATCTAAATTATTTCCATGCTTTTTTATTAAAATTTTCATGGCTGTCAAACTGACCATTTCTCTGTGCAACTCATCTTAAAAATTAAAATTATAACTTTAATTCAAAAAATTTTTGATAATAATTCTCAAAAATAAATCTACAGATATTAAACATCATTTTTACAAATTATGAGATTTTTTTAAAAATAGACCGCAACAGCTTTAGGTGAAATATAATGGACTGACCCTTAATTCTTATATTTTTTGTTATAAAATATGATATTTTCTGGACAATTTACGATACTGAAAATTTTAATCGGATTATTAGAAAAGAAATTGCAAATTTTTTTAAAAAATTCAAAGTCTTGTATCTCCGACATTTTTTATTTTTAAAAAAAAATAATTAGGATTGTCTTTTTTATCACCTAAGGATTGTATAAACAGAGTATTAACCGAACACTAAGATCATGAAAATATCTGTGATGAGTTGACGTCAAATTCACCTATTTTTAAAAAAGGCAACAATTTTAGTTGAAATATAAGGAATTGACAAAAGCATAATTTTAAATACAAATTTAGATTTTTGCATTTGAAAGTAATTAAAACAAAAATAGTATGCAATTTCTTAAATATTCTTTCACTATTGGCTTTATTCCAATAATAAAGTTAAATTAAGCTTTTTTAGAATCTAAATTATAATTCTAAAAATCACTAAACATCCATTTTTCCTAGACATTAAGTTATTTAATTTAAATTATATATTTTACCTTTTTTCCACAAATTCAATACAAAATTTGCTTCACACTCAATAGGCCTGTTAAGTACAATAACAGCATGACTGTGATCTGGAGGACAATTAAAAACGTCTGCAATATTCCACAATTGACATTCTTTTACATTACTTTCCATAATACCTCTGCCGTCAACTTTTAATTTTTCGTTCTGAAAAGATAATTTTTAATGTTTAATTCTATTCTAATTGAATATTCAATTTTTTCCTCTGTTATTTAATGAAATAAATGAATGAAATTTGAGACATATAGGATTAACTGAAAAGTGAGGTTATCTTTTAAAAATGAGCATGTTCACAAGTTTTATGAATTAAATCTCGTAGAATAATATTTTGTAACGCTTTATATGAATGCAGTTAATGTTGATGATATAATAACTACCTTTTGTTTAGAAAAATGATGCAGTGCGTGGATGGTATTTTTGTTATGAACATATAATACCTTACTAGCGTGATTAGAATGATTTACTAAGCACACTAATGACCTCATTTTGCTCTTGACATTCATTTCATCACTGTGAAAATAGAATTTAAATATTATTATCCATTTCCTTAGAAACTATTCGTTCGACCTTTGTTTTACAAAAATTAAAATTGTCAAAATTTTCTTTCGACTCTGCTACTTACACAATGCACAATATAAATAATCAATAACAAACAATCTTCAGTGCGTAGAATCTACAAAATAGAGTTCATTAAATATTTGATTTGAATAAAAGTAACATTTTTAAAATTATGTTATGCTGTGATAAAAAGTTTTAAGCATATGCAAGCATATGTTTATTTTAACACACATTGAAAAAATAATACTGATTATTTTGAAGCATGCACATTTTCAGCAATACTTGATAGCATAGAAATCTACTATTTCACACACTTTGATAGGGCGACCAGGCCGCAGATGATAACAATGGTAACTGTTTCTGTCACAAAACAAAAATAAAAAACAATTTTTTTTTAAAAAAGAAATTTTTACTTAAACTCGCTTTATAATTATAGAAAATAGTTAAAATTATTTACAAAATTCATGTCATGTCGCTTCTATAGAATTTTTTTAAATAAATTCGATTTTAATGTAATATGGCTTATTTTATTAAAAAAATTATTTTCTACAACGTCACCGCTCAAATTTTTAAACAAGCAAGCAGTTTTGAAAATATGCATAAGTGTCATTCTACGTGAAGCGGACAACCCAAAATTTCTATTATTGAAAAAAATCTATTATTTTTAATTTTAAAATTGTAGGTATAAATTTTCACTGAAAAAAGTAAATACGAAAGTTTTGTGATTACAATTTTTATTTTTCAAAAATGTTTTAAAAAATAGTTTAAAGATGTGCAAAAGAACAGAATGGAAAAAGGACATTTTCGAAAATTTTTTAAATATGGTCGATGGTTTATCAAAAGAATTAAAAATAACCAAATTAAATACAATTAAATTTACTATAAAAAAGAACCGTAATTTTTTTTTATTTCATGCAATTTAATGGAAATAGCAGTATTTTAAAAAATAAGTATTTTACATTAGAAATTTCTGGTTGTCCATTTCGCGTAGAATGCCCCATAAATTTCTTGAAAATTGATAATTTATTGGTTTTTATAGAAAATACAATTAATAATAATGTTTTAATAATTTAAATGTTATTTAATATTATTTGTCTAGAGGTCTGCATTTCTTTGGATAAACGTCCAGGTCAGAAAAATTATAAATTAATAAAATTTATATTTGACAACATTTGACAGAATATTTTTAAAATTTCCTAAGCTATAACAATTTTTTGAATCATTTTAAATAAATAAAAAAATTATTTTAAAAATGATTCGCTCATTAAAAAATTTTTTGCTTAAGTAACAATATCATTTATACAGGAAAACTTAATAAGAAAAATTTTAAATTAGTTTAAAACTTTTTTATAATAAAGCAAGGCAAATAAAAAAAATTCAAACTTGAGAAAAATGTAAAGGTTCAGGGAACTTATCAGAGATAGCTTCCGACTTATCATTGGTAACTGTCAGATAACTTCCTGCAGAACTGTGTTATATATTTGAGCTATTTCTTGCTTTACTAAAAATATTATTTACAAAATTATTTTAATATAATATATTTATATAGTAATCTTAAAAGAACAATCTAATTTTTTTAATGAAAATACATTATTAGTATTATTATTATTATTATTATTATTATTATTATTATTATTTAAATTATTTTATTATATGCGTTACATGTATAATTTTGTCGGAAATATGTTCTTATATCTACAAAAAAATTGCCGAATGAAAAAATTTATTTTTAATATATTTTTGAAGTATTTTTTTAAAATATTTGTTTTTAAGCTATACTAATTCTAATTATAATTCATCTGTTTATTTTTCTAACTAATTTCTGATCATAATTTTTTTATGTAAAAAAGTAAATGTAAAAAAAAATTATATAATGAAACTATAATTTGAAATTAGTTTTGAAAAATAAAAAATTGAAATGAAAAATAATTATATTTTATAGCATTTCAAAAAAAAATGCTCTAAAAATTATTAAACCAAATTAGTTGGGAAAAATTTAATTTCATATAAAATTAATAAACTGAATAATATATTATTTGTAATAATAATTTACCAAATTGCTACATTAATTAGTGCTGTGTATAATTACTGATTTAATAGAATGACCTACTGGTCAATGAAAAGGGGGTTTTGGGTGTCAAAAAATCGTATTTTCCACTTCTTCGCCGATTCGAGTTTAACGAAACGAGCTGTTTACCTTTAACAGCAAATCTCGAAAACTTGTTTTCACACGTAAACCCCCTTTTCGTAGACCTAGTTTGCATTTAATTATTTCGTTAATTTAATTTATTAACAATGAATTTATAATTTAAGGGGACTTTCTTGTATGTGTATAAAAAATTTGAATTTTTGAGAAATTAGAAATGATTGCATAAATTCAATTATTTTCAAAAGTAATAAACTTCTTCTCGCAAAATTCAATTATGTTCAAAATTTAAAAAAAAAATTCTAGTCAAAATTACAATATTATCTTTATAAATAACAAAATTCTTCTACCAAATTTAATTATTTTCATAAATAATAAAACTTATCGCAAAATTTCAATTATTAAACATTTTAATAAAATTTTTCGCAATAATTCAGTTATTTTCATAAATAATAAAACCCTTATTCAATTATTTTTGAAAATTTTTTAAAAATTCTTAGCAACTATAGGTATTCAATTATTTTCATAAATAATAAAATTCATCGCAGGATTTCAATTATTTTTAATAGGTACAATTTTAATTAAATTTTTTTGAAATAATTCAATTATTCTTTTAGATTTTAATAAAATTTTTCCCAAGAATTCAATTATTCACATAAATAAATAATTCTTTAAAACAATTCAATTATGTCGATAAATAAAAAAATTATTCCCGAAAATTCAATTATTTTGAGGCATTTTATAATAAAATTCTTAGCAAAATCCAATTATTCTCATAAATAACAATATTCATCACAAGAATAAATTCAATTATTTTTAAAAGTAATAAATTTCTTCTTGGAAATTCAAATATTTTCAAAAAAATTTAATAAAACACCACATACAGACATTTAATTATATAGTCAAAAATTTTAATAGAATTCTTTGTAAAATTTAATTATTTTTAAAAACTTTTTGCAATTCAATGATTTTCAATATATTTTAAAAAAATTTCCATACGCAGAATTCAATTATTTAAAATTTTTTTTGTAAAAATCGTCGTAAGAATTCAATTCTTTTCACGAATAATAAAAATTTCTCAGGAATTCAATTATTTGAATTAGAATTTGTATAAAATTAGTTGAAAGAAATCAATTATTTAAAAAATTTTATAAAATTCTTCGCAAGAATTAAATTATTTTTATAAATATTTAAATTCTTTCACAAATAATGTGTGAATTTTTACAAATAATTGAATTTGAAAAAGGTTTAAAATTAAAATATTTAAAATTAAAATATTTAAAAATTTGAATTTTTAATACTTTTAACTGACAATTCTGTAAAATTAATTTTTTTGAAAAAGTTTAATTGAATATTTTTAAAAATTATTTCAAGTTTTTATTTTTCAATATATATTGAAGAATTTCCGAATAATCGAAATTTTGTAAAATGGATTTGAATATTTTCAAAGAACTTTTTCAAAAATTATTTTAAAAAAGTTTTAATTTGAAATTTTTTAAAATCTTAATTCCTATGGAAAAATAATAATAATTAAATATTTATTTAAAAAAAAATTATTGATGTTTTTGAATAATTTTACAATTAAAGAAATTCGTAAATAAATGTGTAACAGAATACTTTTTTGAGTAAAATTTTCCCTTTATTATCTAAAAATTCAAAAATTTTTAATTAAAATTTGTAATTATTGACAAATATGGAAATATGGAATTTATAAACAATTAAATTGTAAAAACAATTAAAACAATTGTAATTAAGAAATAGAAATAATGCAAATTATTTCCTTATGAAAATTGAGAATTTTCTAAAAAAAATATTAAGAAACGGAAATACTTAATGTTTTTTTTCCAAAGAAAAAAATCAGTTTGTTTTTATAAATAAAATAAAAAGGAGAAAAATTTGCATATAATTAGTTATACGAAATTTGTTATAGAAAAAAGCATGTAATAAACAAAATGTTTATATATTTTATTTGTTAATCATAATATATTCTTTTAACAATTTTCTAATCTCAAATATTATTTTATTATAAATCATGAAAAAATACCTGCTTATTTTCCATTTGTCAAAAAATATTTTTTAAAGAAAGAAAAAACAAAAACAACTTTTTTCTTTTGCACATTTTTTCAAAAATGTTTTGGGACAGAACATTTTATAAAGCAAAAGAAATAGAAACATTGCTTTTTTTAAATCACTTGACCAGAAACTCCCCTTAACAATTTTTGACATAACCAAGATAACTTATAATCCTTATAATTTTTATGTTTTTTATTAGAAAAAAATAACGAAACATTTAATAAATATCACTAAACCTTCGATTTATAATACATATAGTAAAATACTAAAACCTTTTTTCCTTTAATTTGGTACATAATAAAATTGAATTTGTTGCATGTCAAGACCAATCTATTATCAATAGAATTTTTCATGTACTCTAGATAAGTAACAGTAAAAATAATTGATTGAATGTAAACTTATATCCTGCATTGTTTTTGTTTATATACTGATGAAACGGACCTGATTGGATTTCAGTTCAGCTTCTAAATTCCACAATGGCGGGGATGGATATTTCAGTTCCGCACGTTTCATGAGTCTGACTTGGTAGCAGACGGCAGACGAGTGCATAATAACCAGTCGCTAGCGACGCGTCCCGGGCGCTGTTCGCTACGATGATGGTGTTTTCTAAAATATGTTATGGCCTCCCAAGGCTTTTTTTAAGCGTGTTAATAGTTCTTTTCTTATGTATAAATGCGAATGTATGCCAGGAGAATCTCGCGACGCGAATGCGTGTTATAAGTGAGGATTTAGATCAACAGCTAAACGAAATGATGGATTCACAAGCAGTTACTTACTCTACTGTAAATATTACTGGATTACCTTATAACGCGTCAACTAAATTTTACCCCATTGGAATGGTGCAACTCTACAATATCACCAACATGTTTATAAACTTTGTACAGAAAAAACAAGCGTATCCAGAAGGTAAGTTAAAAATCAATGGCATTCGAGTTAGTGTGTTCTGTGTTTGAATTGCTTTTATGACACACAGCGTCTCTGTGAGAGAGATTCATCTCGCGTTTATTCTCCTTAATTTCACGTCTCGATAGGATCATTTTTTTAGTTGGTAAATTTTTTTGTTTGTAAACAAAAATCAACTTTGATTGAGGATTGAACCAAAACAATGTTGTAAAATGACAGTTGCTTCATGGTGGATTGTAACAAGGGCGATGCTCTTTCCTGCGACCTCTAGATCCTTAGCAACTACCTCAACCCTCTGTCTGGAGTTTATTTTTTCCAAGTTATATTTGGCATTCATTGATATTCCTACAAAAAAATGTCTGCTTATCATTTGTTCGCGAAATAAAGCTCAAAGAAAATTCTAAAGAAAATCCCAAAGTGATGTGAAATAGGGAAAAAAATAGTGGTTTATTATTATAACGGAGCTTTGTATACAGGCTAAAATGGTGAGTCAGTGATTAATATTTTTTTGTTCTGTCGCTCAAATACTTTCTTGCATGTATATAGTGTCAATGATTTTATTACCACAAAAGGCGGTAGTTTCAATAAAAAAAAGTTATTCAATTTTTCGTCATTGCTACTTAACATTGAATCATAAATTCTATAAACATTTCTGCTGCAACCTCAATAAGCGATTTTTCCATTGTTAACATTTTTCCAATGTTTCGTGTCATTTTTCTCTTTATACATAAGTACATTATTTGATAAGTCTACTATCCTTAGATAAGATTATAAATTATTCAATTTTTTCTCAAAATTATTACAAGATGTTTTATTTATTTTTTTTGTATTTTAATCGTTGACGATAACTACAACTTTCAGATTTTAAAATATGTGAATTAAATATTTTTTAACATATTAAGGTTTTTAAATGAGTGTAAATAATTAAATTAGCTTTAATGAAATGGTGGAAGCAAAAGCAATAGTTCTAAATGATTGGGAACGTGTAACGGTACTATTATCACGCAATAGAAGATGTTTCTTTGTAAAAAAGTGCATTGTTCAGACAACGGAAGTAAACATAAAAACTGAATGACTCACGTTCAGCAGAAACATTCGAATAGATTAGACAGTGATCTATATTGATTTACGATTACAGGCGAGAAATGAAGATTTCATTTAATGTACAGGAACTGATAGGACGTTCTTAATTAATATTTATATCAGAGGACATTGAAACACATTTTTATTATCTCTTCAGTAAATAAAATTTATAAAATTCTTACTAATACTTAGACTTAAAAAATCAACTAAAAAAAATCACTAAACCTAGCTTCAAATCATTCTATTGAAACCTAATTTTAAGGGATTTAACAGTCGAAAAAAATTCAGTGATTTTAAATATTTTACAAATACAGGGTTGCTACGCAACCTGGAAACCTAGAAAAGTCAGGGAATTTTGATCGAAATCCTGGAAAATTATTTTCTAAAGTTATTGTGTTTATTCTTGAAATCTAATTTCACTTAAATATTTCAAAATTAATTAAATTCTAAAGGAATTGCGTTTACAATTTTCATAAGTAGATGAACAAAAATAAAATGATATTTTCTCAACTTTTTTGTTTTAAAAATTTTCTTTAATTATTAAACTATTATAACTATCTTATAGGGTAATAAAAAATACATTAATTTATCCAAAATTTAATCACTTGCCTTATTTATAAAAAGTTATTCATATATTTCTATTATTATTATTATTATTATTATTATTATTATTATTATCTTTATGAGGAAGCAAAGTGTTCGTGATTTGAGCACCAAAATTATAACAAAAATATACAACTTGACAGCGGTTTTTTCATAAGTAATAAAATTTTTACAGAGATTCAATTATTTTCATAAATAATAAAACTCAATGCTGAATTTCAATTATTTTTAATACAATTTTAATGGAATTCCTCGAAAAAAAGTTATTATTCTTAAAAATTTAATTTAAATTAAAATAATAATAGGGTAGAGTGGGGCATTACTATTCGCGGGGCGTAACTATTCTTTGTCCTGGAGAGAAAACTATTCAGCCGATTAAAGTTTTTTTTACACTGTATACTTGTCATGTGAAATAAACATTGTATGCCACATTTGAGCTTCTAGCGCCATCTATCATAGGAGTTAGGTACCCAAATGTGATTTTGATATACTCGCTTACTTGTTTTCACTCATTTAGTCTGCCATTGTAAATAGTGATAAACGGTCGAAAAAATTATCGGAGAAAATATTTCCAAAGTCAAATTTAGTGCTGAACACGAATATCATAATAGATTTTTGATATTCTATTGTTCAAAAATTTTACAAGTGTTTTTTCAAAAAATGAGCGGATGGGGCGTAACTATTCTTCCACTGATGACAGCAAAAACTACAAAACAGTGTATTTTTTTTTATTCTCCTTGTTTCTAGGTTAGAATGGTAAGAAATTGTCAGAAAAAAACCAGAAAAAATCCTTCAATTAACAAATTATTTTTTATATTTTTTTAGTATTATATCATTAATAGCTGCAAGAATAGTTACGCCCCTCGTTTTTTTCGACATCAAAAAAAATTTTTTTTCGTAAAATCGCTGTAGTTCGGAATAGAATCGAGTTACAGCAAAATGATACATGGCAAAATTGTAGCTAAGAAGTCAAGCTTTCAAACGGTTCTACTCATTTTTTTATTTTTTTTTAAATACATTTTCTAGACTCAAAAATCCAAAAAAGAATAGTAATGCCCCACCCTACCCTAATAATAAAAAAATAAATAAATAAATAAAAAAAAATAAATAAATAAATAAAAAAATAATAAAAAATAATAATAATTTAATTTAAATTTAATTATTTTAATAACCTTTGCTAAAATTTATTTATTAGAATTGAAGTATTATTTTTAATTCATTTTTTAATTAAATTTCTTTAAAGAATAAAATTATTTTCAAAACTTTTAATAACATTCTTGGCAGAATTTCAATTATTTTTAATACAATAAAATTTTCATCAAATTTCTCGAAAAATGGAATTATTCTTAAAAATTTTATTAAAATTTGTCAAGAGGATTCAATTATTTAAAATATTATTGATAAAATTCTTTATGAAAATTCAATTTTAAGAAACATTGAATTGTTTAATAGAATATTTATTTTTATAGTTAAATAATTGAATTCTCGTAGAATTTTCTAATAAATATTGATTTAAAAATGAATTTGAAATTAAAATCTTTGAAGATTTGAAACTTGTTTAAAAATAAAAAATTTGGTCCAGAGGATGAAGGATAAAAATTAAAAAAAAAAGAAAACATTAAAAAAATTTTTAGCCACTAATTGTCCACAGTTTACAACCAAATTTAATTTAAGAAAATTCATTTTTGTACAAATCCAATACAATTCAATTTCTATTATTTTGCAGCAGCCTCACCGAATTACTTAAAACTTGGTTATATTATATTTATTCGTATAAAGTTTTAGAAAATCAACTTTTTGAGATAAGACAATATTGTCTATTCATAAGATACAACAATTGTTAAAAATTGTTTAATTGCTCATATCTTTTAAACAATTAAAAATAAACGAGTTTTGTTTTTTGCACTCAACTCAGGAAATATCAAATAAATCATTTCAAAAAAGTAATAAACGTGTTTACAATATTTTATTAATTAACAAAAGTTATTTAAATAAAATATGCTGCTTCTGAACATGTCATCTAGGGTAAGTGCGGGTATAGTCGGACAGTACTAGTAGTCGGACACTTTCATGTTTTTTGGCAAATAAATAATAATGCATTGTGATAATTACTTTAAAAAGTATACTAGACGAATGTGTGAAGTTTATATTTTATTAGAATAGTGTTATTTTCGAAAATAATTAAACAAGAAATATTTTATTTAATGTTTTAAAAATCATGGTGTCCGACTATAGATACAACCATTTTCGAGTAGCGCGATGAGTGGCACAAAGTTTTGTTGACAATTAATCATAAATATTAAAACTTATAGGGTTTAAATATTATATTAATAACTTCTAATATGCTTTAATTCCATTTTCCAGCAGATAGCAATTAAAAAATGATCTTTTTCTTTTTATAAATTCAAAATATCTGACAGATGTCCGACTATAGAAACAAGGGGAAAAAGTGTCCGACTACTAAAGCATTCGTAATTTTTTATTAAAATGTTTATATTTTATTAAATACTCAACTATTTGTAACAAATTTATATGATTTTTAATCCTGAAGAACTCCTTTAATTAATAATGTGCTTATAAACACAGTAGATATTTGCTATTTCAAGAAAAAAAGCATAATTTAAGATTGTATCCTTAAGTGTCCGACTACTAGTGCATTTACCCTATATAATTCCAACTTGCATCGTGAACAATGTGATGGAATCATAACCTCAATTAGTCAAATCAGGTTGGTAACATTGACGACATGCTGAGAAATGGCGCACGTAGCCGCAACAGCTGATTACATATTTAATTACAAAATAGCTTTGAAAAGATAAAGAATTATTTAAATATTCAGTGGGTTTATGATTTATTCAAGGAGATTGTATTTTTATATTAAAGAGTGCGAACTCAGGCATATTTTGAACTTTAATTATTCATTTTATTTCATCAACCAGGGTGAAAATATGCTTATTTTATTTAAATGCTTTGTTAGTTAACAAAATATTGTAAATTGGTTCAAAAAGTTGATTTTCTGAAACTTTATAGGAATAAATGTAAAATTAACAGTAATATAACTTAGCATTAAAGAAAAAAATAAATTGAAATTACATTATTTAAAATGTGTTTTTAGCTTTAATAAAAAGTATTGCTTTGGTTCAAGTTAATAATAGTAAATGAATATAATAAAAATATAATTTTATATAAACTATATCTAAAGAATAACAAAACAACATAAAAAGAAATTACCAGTATGTTATTTCAAATACGTTATTGCTACATTTACAGGGCTCGGATTGTGCGGCTTTTCGACTTTTCTAAGGAAAAATATATAT